GGGGGGGGGGATACTTAACTCGAAAAGATATGGCAATTTCATTCTTTCTCTCAAGACTGAGAATAATGATCAAGAATGACAGCATTAAATTAAAAACCGGCAAATGAATAAAAAGTTTAAACCTTTACCTTCCACCATTCAAAACCCAAAATATTTACCTCTGGTAAAAAGAAAACTCACCTGAACTTCTCTTTTTCTTACCGGAAGAAAGCAACGTTCGTTCTTCTGTTCTTCGCAGGAAAACCAATTAAACAAACAAAACGCGCGCGCACGTGGGCAATCAGAGATGAACCCTATCTAGGTCATTATCGTCATTTCAAAAACATACCCCATGAGCGTGAGAAAGAGGCAGGCAGTCCATTTATTATCGCGCCATGTCCCTTCCATGCCATTCTTTACATAACACAACACAAACTCCTCACCTCTGTCATGAAAAAGAAAACCAAACACCAAACACCAAACACAACCCCAAACACTCTCACCCAGGAAACTCAAGATAGAAGGAGAAAGACAAGAATTCAAGAAACTCCCTCTCCCTCTCGTTCTTGTTCTCTTTTCGAGTCCTTTAACTTTACAGCAAGTATTTGTTTTGCTGGAAGTAACCATTAATCTGCAGGCTGGTCCGTTCAATGGCGAGCGGGTGGGTCAAGTCCTTGCAATGTAAGTCAAGAGCATTTGATGATGTTTTTAACCCGAACCCCATACACTTACTGCCCAGTTCCAGTTGCAGGAAAACCTCTTCAAAAATCATTAAAGATGTCATTATTGAAACCAAAACCAAGAAAACAAAACCTAAACACCATCCTATCAATCAGAACGAACCAAAGCCCAAGCCTGAACACGTTTCTACACCCCCGACGCTTTCTCGGTCAGCCCGCAACCCTGACCCGGTTTTCCCTGTCCTCGCCGAGCTGCCCGAGGGACACCCTTCGAGAAATGTGGTAGAGATTATCTTTCACACGAGTTGGAGCAATAAATCATTTCCGGGTCGGATCGAGATGATTTTCAAAGTGCAAAACGGACCCAGAACGGTGACCCGATTTGAAGAATACAGAGAGATTGTTAAAACCCGGGCCGGGTTGTCGGGTGGGACCACGTGGGAAGAGAATGCAAGGTGCGTCGCCGATGGAAACGAGATGATGCGGTTTTATTGCCTGGGCCCCGCTGGAGGTGTACATGACGCGCGTGGTGTTGGGTGGGTTTTCCCGGGGGGTAAAGGGGCAGTGGTTTGCACGTTCTCCGGCAGTGGAGCAGCTCATGAGAGCGCTGGTGCTGGTAGGGGAAGGAGAGCAATGCTTGTTTGTCGGGTTGTAGCGGGTCGGGTTACAAAGCAAATCGGTTTTGACTCGTTGGTAGATGACTGTCGGGTCGGGTTAGACTCGGTGAGTGGGGATAATGGCGAGTTGCTGGTATTTGATAGTCGTGCCGTGTTGCCTTGTTTTCTTATTATCTATAGATTGTAAAAATACGTGGAGATTATTTTCTCTCTTTTCTTTTATCTCCACGGAAGTCCCTTTTTATATATATAAAAAAAAACGGTGCATTTTTCAACACAATTTTTCTTTGCGTCTTGATTTTTAAATGCTGAGCTGTGGATAATTTTTATTTTTATTTTTAATTTTAATTTTAATGGTGTGGTTACTGTGGGAGAAATTGGGTTGATAAATGCTAATTAATCTACCTACCTGTTTTTGTTTAAATGCGCTAATAATGGTTATGATTGCCCATTAACCAGCCCACCAATTCTTGTTCTTTTGTGATTATTATTATTATTATTATTATTATTTGTGATTAAATAAGAGAGTTTGGTCAAAAAAGTGTTTGTGTGGGTGGGGGGTCATTAGTCGTTTTACGATTAGATTGATGCTGATTTGTTAAGCTATCTATCAACTCATTTTTTGTTGGAGCTCTCGTGCTGACTACAAGACAAGGCCAAGTCGGGGTACTTTTTTTCTTTAAAAAATAAATTGAGATTAAGATTGAGATTTGACTGTGAGAAATTGTTTGACATTGTATTTACTTTTACTGTTATAATGGGGTTTTTTTATTGTTTTTTTTTTCAAATCCAGGTCTTTACCATTATTTGAGATGAAATAACAAGTTTAAACAATGAAAACTAAATAATTCTTAAAGTTGTGATCAACCTAAAATATATCTAATGGCACCATGTTATCGCAATATTAAATGGAGAATCTTAGTTAGATATAGTTATTTGCACATTGATGAGCCATAAAATTATGATCATAATATTTAAGTGTTGGATTTTTTTATAGGTTCCTTTGTAAAAGAAATTTATTGAATTACAAGAGCATTTTCAATGCTAGAGATAAAATAAAAGCCAAAGCTAAATAAATATTAATTTAACTATTATCCATAATTTAGCGGCTATAAAATAATAACTATTTTTTTCACTAAAATATTATTTTTACATATAACTGAATAAAGCAAAACACATAAACAAGATAGATTTCACCATTGGCTTTGTGATTTTCTAAAAAGAACAAGAAACAATTGTCCTTTGATTGTCCTTGCTCGATGGCCTAAGTCATGCTCTAGTTTTTTATTTTAGATGATTATTGTCCATGTTTTGTCAATTATTGCCTTACATTTTCAATTGATTTGCTTTAATTATTTTAACCATTGAGAAATTTCTCATAATATGTTTTTTTAATTATGATCTATTTAATGATTTTTTGTTAAACTTTACTCTATAACGAAATGAATTGCTTTCTATTATTGGTGGCTAGTCTTTTTGAATTTGAGTGTTTTGGTTTGATTTTTGTTTTAAGAGATTTGAATCTAGGTTTCATGGGCAAGGTGTTAAGGAAGTTTATTGCTAATGATGAAATTAAGGAATGGTGACATGTTTATGTTTGGTTTCGAGCCTTTGAATTTCTGTTATGCTTACTTATGTGGGAAGTATCATGTTCATAAAAAGGTGAAAAGGTTATTTGATTTTATAGGTATGGATTGAATGGAAGTCTCTTGTCCATTGGTGAGGGCTAGGTGCAAACACCCCTAAATCAGGATGTGTAAAAAGTCTTGGAAGTTATTTTCTTTGACATGATATATATTGTTTACAACACCTTAAATTTGTTGAATTGATGGATTTTAGGTCAAGACAACATGATTAATGGTTATTTATTATGTGATGTTGCAAGATAGTAAACTATTTTTATAATAATCTCGAGACGATCTTTATGTGTTGCCTTGGATTAATTAAAGTTCCAAATCTATAAGTTACAATCCTAAAAATCTTGAACTTTCTTTGACCATCTTGATAGAATTTTGAAATTAGGGTTTGGCAAGGAAATAAAGAAGATACAGATCTATTAAGATCTATGCGAAATGGGTTTGTTCGAAAGGAAAATCAAGTTTCAAGCCTTTTTAATTTTCAAGGATAAAATCTGCTACTATAATGGATGCTTTTAAAAATATAATCAAGATCACTTGGTTTGATTTTTTTTTCTTATTTGTGTATCGACATTAACATGGAAATTGTATATGGGGATAGATGTTCCATCAAAGTTTTAGTAGTAAGAGTTTTTGAATCTCTAATTCCTTATTTCCATTTCTTTTGTTACTCAACTTTTTATCTAGAAATTATGCATCTCATCATGTATCAACAATTCAAAAGGATGAATAGGTACAAGTTCTTATGAAGGATGGAAATGAGTTGAGTTATTCATATAATTAATGATGTTGATAGTATCCTTATTCTGTAAATGACATTTATTTTCTATAAATTAGAAGAAGAAAAATCTTGAAATAACCTATTCCTTTTCTTGCAACTTCCAATAGTAAAAACAGAATGTTGATTAGTTATTTAAAAAAGAAAATAAATTTGGGTTCATTTTAAGCTAGGGAAATTCTTATCTTAAAGGCTATAGCCTTGCTTAAATCACTAGATCGATCGATTTGGTTAAGCAAAACTAAGCTAATACATTAGCGAATATGCCTTCCTTGAATCATCAATGAAGAATATTGATTAGTTGTTTAAAAAAGACATAAATCTTCTATTATTGGACTAGATTTTATTTTGTTTTTCTTATGGATGAATCAACGGTATATTTTTATAATTAATGGCGATGAATTTAAAACAAATTAAGCTTTCTATAATCTTTAAGAAACTAGAGTCTAAACTATAAAATAATATTATGATAAAGAAACCAAGTTTAAAGGCAAACCTTAATCTGTTATAAGGGATTAAGCTTTCCAACTAAACAAATGCATTATTTTCTAGGTTATGCTTCATATATTAATATGATTAGTTTAGTTTATATATTTTGTTTTATGGTGCTAAGTCCAATAATGTTTATCATCAGTTATAATAGGAGTAGTTGAAGAAAAAGGATGGAGTCATTAAGAAATATAGTGTGATCAGTGCCAAAAGGATAAAAAAAAATTTAGTTTTGACATGTAAAAAATAACACAACATTCTTTTGCAATTTAATGTTGTGCTAGATTGAGTGTTGATAAGGGAGATATATAAGTCGGGTTCTAATATTAGTTTATAAGTTGTCTTATTGTAGGCATAGTTTTGGTTAATCTCTAACATAATTACACCATTTTCATTTATGAGTTTTTATACATGTTACAAATTTGCATAATAAATATCCAATAGTTGATGATGTTGTATGTATAGAGTATTAGAGCTATATTAAGTGCACAGGTTCAAAATAACAAAGTTTGATTTTTTTAATAGTTTTATGCATTAACTTATGACTTTGAACACTTTTAATTTTATATTTATTAGTGGGCTGGAAGATAATATGGTAGCTTGGTTGGTGATTAGTTGTGGTTTCTTAAGATAGAGCTATAAAATGTGTTGTGTAATGGTGTTGTGTTGAGTTATTATGGCTTTAAATTTTTATACTCGTAAAGCAATATTTTTTTTGTTATCTCTTATATTGTAATACTAAGATTAATATGTCTTTAGGTACTATATTTAAATCTTGTGTTTAATAAAAAAAAATTATCCTTGTTATCTAAGAATTTCACTTGCTTGTTATAGATGATAAGTCTATTCATACAACATGTATATGAGCAGTTGTATCCATTCTAGCCATAAAGGTTACTATTATTAAATGAGAAAGAAATATAATTATATATTAAGAGAACCACGTATGAATGTAGTTGCTAAAAGAGAATTCTATATGAATAGCATTTTGGATCGAGATAATAGATATTATATCGAACAAATTCATATAAAACAACATGTATTTTATCATTTGTATAATCTCTTCACAAGTTATGACCTATTATAATCAACTAAAACTGTGTTTATTAGGGAGTATATGATTGTGTTCTTACAAATCATAGGTTGAAACTAAAGATTTCATTTGTTAGTGATATTTACTATAGATATGTTGAAATTATTCATTATTATTTTAGAATTGTTTTAAAGGTTGTTCTTAAGTTGTGCAAACACCTTATTAAACACCTAATGGATATGGTTCCCATAGAGATACTAAATAATTAAAGATTTTATTCTTATTTTAAGGTATGAGAATAATACTAATATTTTTATACATTAATTAATTACATCAAGAAGAAAAAAGTTATCTTTATTGTTTCATATTTATATAGAATTATGTGAGAGTAATTGATGATAACCATATTCTTTTAAATATTTCCATTGAAATTCAAGAGAAGTTTCAAGGTAGAAAAGAAGAAACAACCAAAAATGTTTTAGTAGCTATAAATTTCAATTTGAGTTTTATATATGTTTTATCTCATTAAGAAGGAAATGTACACAATTCACATGTTTTAGGTGATGCACTATTAAGTTCAAGTGGTTTAAAAATTCAAGAACATATAAAATAAATTTAAAATATTTATTATATATATGAAATAAGCATTTAAAATGTTTAAATTAGAAAAAACATAGTAATATATTTTATTCTTATTTAGAAATAAATATTATCATGGTGATGTCAGTTACGACATTCAAAAAGAAATTATTTCTTCTCTACATGAAGTTTGATATCACTTTAATGAATTTATAAATCATTCATTGAAAAAATAAAAAGAAGTTACTTAATCTTCAATATTGGATTTTCGTTTATAATTGATAAACTTAAATTCTATGTTGTAATATTAATATTTAATTTGATGATATGATATTTTTTTTATTAAGAATGTGAACTAAAATAAATTATTAAACCTAAAATTGTGTAAACATAACATGAGATGATGAAATTGATTAAAAAAAGAATAGTTTAATGATTGAAATGAAATAATTGTTCAAAGGCTTATAAAAAAAGAGAAGCCGACTGGATGTGCTGTAAAATAAATTGTGTAAACATGTACATTTCGCGTATGAATTATTTAATAATATTTTATCTAGTCTTTAAATTATTTATAAATAAAGAAGTTTGAGTAATTATATTAAAATGTTTGAGTTGATTGAGCAATCGCTTCCCTGGGGAGAAAATGAAAGGCAGATGGATGTTTCGTGGTCACCATCTCTGATAGACACTTCTGATCCTATCGTTTCATTCATCTAATACCGAACCTG